CCCCCCTGCCGTGCGCAGCATGCTCGTCATGGACGAGGCCGATCGCATGCTCGATCCGACCGGCTTCGAGGAAGACGTCCGGGAAATCGTCTCCTACTTCCGCGGCCAGAGACAGACGCTGCTCTTCTCGGCCACCATGCCGCCCACCGTTGGGACCTTCGCCCAGTCGTCGCTGGTGCGGCCGGTGGTGGTGAACGTCACTAAGTCCAGCATCGCCAATAGCAACATCAGTCAGGAAGTGCACTATGTGCCGCAGGTCCAGAAGACCACCCGGCTGATGGATGTCCTGGACACCACCCCGCCGCCGGTGTTGGTGTTCGCGCAAAATAAGCGCGATGTCAATGACATCCACGAGTATCTCCTGGCGCGCGGCGTGGCCGTGGACTCGATCCATGGCGACCGGTCGTCCGAGGAGCGGACCAACGCCGTGCGGCGCTTCCGCGCCGGGGACATCGACATCCTCGTGGCCACGGATGTCATGTCCAAGGGTTTGGATTTCCCCAACATCCAGCACGTCATCAATTTCGATATGCCGGATTGCATTGAGAACTACATTCACCGGATTGGTCGAACCGGGCGTGGTGGCAACAGCGGCGTGGCCTCGACCTTCATCAATGACGAGTGCGACCGGAATGTCCTGGCCGATTTGAGCGTCCTCCTGTACCAGGCCAAGCAGCCGGGCAACCTGTATTTGGACCAGATTTGCATGGAGCTGGGGATCGACGTGCCGCGTGTTGTGGCCGAGATGGAGTCGGCCGATGCCGCTGGCGACGCCAGCGGCGCCGACGGCGACCTCCTCGGCCGCGGCGGTGGCTGTGTCTTCTGTGGTGGCCGTGGTCACACGGCCAACAACTGCCCGAAGATGCTCAAGGAGGCGCGCCGGGTCATGGCCAGCGCCCGTGCCAGCGACATGTCCGGCGGTGGCGGCTTCTAAGGCCCTGCGTCGAGCCCGGGCCGGGACCGGTCAGGCCTGGGGTGTGGCTACTGCTTTGTCCTTCTCGCTCCCCGGCCCCTGTCTTCTCCTCCCCCAATGGACAGTCCCACCTTGATCCTTGGTCGCGTCTGCAGCTGCACGTCCACCTGTGTGTGCATTGTCTCCACTGTTGGCACTATATGCGTGTGTGTGCGTGTGTGTGTGTAAAGGGGGTATGTATGCACGTCTATTTGGAGGGAAGTAGAGGTTCAATTGGAAGATCAGCACGAGCCGTCAGCCGGCCCGTCCCTCCAGCGCTCCAGCACGCGGGCACAGTCAAACACGGGCTTTCCAAGGCGAACATTAACGTCATTGTGCTACCGGCGGCGGTGTGTGTGTGTGTGTGTGTGTGTGTGCCGGAAAGGGGAAGGCGGAGGAGGAGTCAGTAACAGGGGGAAGAGAGGACGACGCAGCCCGGCGGGGAGGGCGCACCATTTCGCAGAACCACTGGGAGATGGAGGTCCGGGAGGAGGTGTCCGGCGGATGGGCAGCCGCATACTCGGTCAAGTGCGACGCACAGTCGCCGCAGGGGAAGAGTCGCCCGAGGATGGACACAAGGTTGGTCATGTCCGCCCGGTGCTGCGGCCTGCGCGCGACAGAGCCCACCATGGCCGGGGATGATCAGGCGGTTTGAGGGGCGTCAAAAAAGGGGCCGGTGGCAGGAGAAAGGGGGGGGGGGGGGGCGAAGCATAGGGCGCGCGCGCGAGGGATCACGCACGAGGGATCCTTGGGATAGTAGGCTGCAGCCGTGTGCAGGAAGGTCCACGTCCCGCGGCCAATCTCCAGCAGGTCGGGCGGGCACTCGAGGGGCACCGGGGCAGCCTCGCCAGCAGGGGTGGCGCCGGGGCTCGCGGCGCTGGCCGACGTGGCCGGTGGCGATGGGGGCGGCGTGGCCGGCCGGGCACCGGCAGCAGCGCCGCTGCCACTGCCACTGCCGCCGGCCCCAGCGGTCTTCATGAAATCGGTCATGCTGTTGCATGCCCGGCAGGGCTTGCCATCCGCGTCAAGGATCATGGTTCGATTGTTGTGGAGACAATCGGAGAGCGAGGCGAGGGAGAGAACAGAGAAGAGGGGGGGGGGGGGGCACCGGAAAATGGGCATGCACGTGCTAACCGGCGTAGATGGGTTTGAGCCTGGGCCGAAAAATAGCCCCAGCAATCTGCCCCCCTCCAGTCCTGACCGAAGGCCCCCCCCCCCCGCACCCTGTCTTGGACGCCCGCCAACTCAACCACCAGCGTGGGCTGGTGGGGCACTGCCCGGGGCGAGGGGGGGGGGGGGGCGGTCCGGGCTTTGTGTCTCCGTGCGCCCGCCGCTGGCTCTCCGCGCCCGTGCAGCCGGGCGCTCGTCAGGCCTGGCCGCCCGAGCCGACGATCGGGCGGGGGGCGAGAAAATTCGAGAACCGCGGGAGTCACGCCCGCAGATCACAAGGCCACTTCTGGTATAGGAGATCATCGCGCGAGCGCGACAGACGGCCATACAGCCTGCGTTGGGATGCCCCCGTAAGCGCGGGAAGTCCCGGTCTACTTGCGCTTGCGTTGGCACTCGGCGCTGTCTAACCGTATTTCTCTCGACCTCCTCCCCTTGCGGTGCTGCCCTCACACCGGGGCCTGGGCAGAGGGGGGGCGGGGGACACGCGAGGGGCGGCAGCATAGGGCAGGGCTCTCCCCTTCGCCTGGCGCTTTGCCATCCGCCGCAAAGGCAGCAGGCCTGAAGTGCGGCCGGGGTGCGACCGCTCCCGGGAGACCGGGGGCGCGTCAGCACACTCCTTCGAATCTCCCGATCCTTCCCCCCCCCCCCGCCACCTCTCTCCTGCTGTGCCTTTCCCCACCGTCTTCTGGATCGTCGAAGGAGCCTCCGGCCCGTGTGTTTGTCTGTCCGTGTTTGTGCATGATCACCGCTCGACACGCACGTAAACGTACCCACACGCACACATAGAGTATACGCACGCACGCACGCACGCACGCACGCACGCGCACACATACGTGACGCCGCTCCGTGCCCGACCGCCACTTGCCTGAGCATAGGCCCCTGCCGCCTGCACTTTCGACCGACCGACCCCGCGCCCGGCCGCCCGATCGCCCGCCCCCGCTGCCGCTCGGGCCTCGCGCCTGGCTCCGGCCATGGACAACAGCTCACGATGGGAGTCACTCCCCTCGGTGGCCAGTGCGCTTGCTCTTGACTTTGGATGGATGTGCTTCGTTTGATGGGCCCTGCTGACCTATTCACCCCCCCCCCTCCTCCCCCCGCCTCTTTATTTTCCCCTAGTTGCGCCCAAGGATGTGTCTGAGGACGTCCGTGCCCCGAGCTCCGCTCTGTTGCCTGCCCGGCCGCCCACCACCGGCCACTAACCCCCCTCGCCCCTTCTCTTGTGGCTGCCTTGCCTCCCTCAGTTGACCGAGGCCCAGAAAAATGTCGTGGACCGGATTCGCCCCGGGGCCCCGTTGCGCTTCTTGCACATCACCTCGGTCGGTATGAACTGGCCGAGCAAGCGCAAGACCTTCGCCGCGGCCAAGCCCCCGCCCACCACCCAGGCTCCCGGTGGCCGAGTCATCACCCCCCTTGTGCCGGCCATCATCCTCCCGGACCGAGGTGCGCCATCTGCCTCCTCCTGCCTCCTCCTGCTCCCCTTTTTGGCCCCCAAACAGGCAGGCAGGGCCCAGCAGTGTCCTGTGCATCTGCCCCCGCCTTGGCGTGGATGTCACACTGACACTCTGTCTGTCCTCTCCCGGTCTCCCGCTCTCTCTCTCTCTCTCTGTGTGTGTCTCGCCCTCCCCGCCGCGACGCCCATCAGAGTACGCCGTCCTGCAGGATGACATGACGGACTTCCTGCAGCCTGTGTCGCCGACGGCGCGGGCCGCACACGCGGCCCGGCTCCGCTCCGGCCTGGATGGTCTGCGCTACGCGGCCTCCTCGGCCCTGGAGGCGGAGCAGGCCTTCCTCGAGGCCCAGGCGGCTGTGTCGTTGAAGCGTGAACGCCGTCGCCGGGGCGGTGGCGCCAAGGCGGCCGCCATCTCTGCCGCCGCGGCCCTGACCAAATGCGAAGGAGCCACCACGCGGGCCCTGCTGGCGCTGGAGTTCATTGCCACAGGTCGCGTTGGCCGCCGCGTTGTGCAACTCTCCTCTAATCTGTCTGTGCGTTGTACCGGCGCTGGCTCCGGCGCCCTTCTCCCGCTGTTCCATCCCTCCTCCGCTGCCGTGGCCAGAATCTCACCACCTTCCCCTCCCCCTTGCCTTGGCCATTGTGACCGCCGTTGGGATGGGTTGGCTTTGGCCGCGCCTTGCCGCCGCCGTAGCCTGCCGAGCTGGAAGAGGCCTTGGGGCCGAACTTCCGCCTGCTCCAGACGCCGGCCCCCTCGGCTGCTGGGGACTCGACTTCGGGCGCGAGCACGGCCGGCTCAGCGGCGGGTGCTTCCCCCGCATCCGCGGCCGGGGCTGCCTCCTCGCTGTTGGGCGCCAGCCTGGCCCTGGTGAGCTGGGAGGATGACATCATTTGGGATGACGACCGGGAAACCGGCGAAGCGGCCCCGATGGATGTCGACTCGCCGCCGGGGCCGACCCCGGCGGATGCCGATCCCACGGCCCGGCTGCTGGACGCCGGCCAAGTGCGCGTGTCCTTCGGGGTGCAGCACGCGCCCAGCTGGCGCCCGGTTGCCGGGGACGCATCCAGCGAGACGGCCACCTATCCCTCGCACCTGGACTACTACCCCACCCGGCGCTGGCACCACGGCCTGGACTTGGATCTCGACCGGCCGGGCATCAACGGGACGCCCGCCGGATGGGAGGACCTGGTCATTTGGGATGATGGGGCTTCGGATGATGCCGAAGAGGCATCAGACGATGCTGATGCCGGTGTCGATGCCGGTGCCGAGGATGCGCCCCCCGGCGCCTCGCCGGGGGCCAATCCCGAAGGGCCCGGCGACCCCCGAGCCGACGGCCCGGACCACAGCCAGCCAGCCTCCCCTGGGCCGGTGGCCCCGGCCGGGGGCGAGGTGTCGGCCGGCAGCGAGACGGACCCGGTCACCGGCGAGCCGACAGCCAAGCGCCGGCGGCTGGCTGTGGCGTCCAGCGTCCGGCTTCCCGGGGCCCGTCGCCCGGGCATCCCGGATGCCATGCTCAATCCGCAATTGATCATCGACCAGAGCGATCCACATATGTTCCTGCTCGAGGGTGCGTGCCCGGTCGTTGGTTGACGGGGGGGGGGGGGGGGGCTTTTTTCCCCCTTTCGCATCTTCCCCTTGTGCTCACGTGTTTTCCTCCCTCCGCTTAAACCCCTCCCCTCCTGCCCCCTGCCGGCCGGCGTGCAGTCAAGGTGAAGCCTGTCACCCCGAGCGAGCCGAGCCAATCGTCGGTTCGCCTTCCCGGGCCGCTGGCCTCCCGCCGGCTGGACCTCTCGAATTTGGGCTATTACGCCGCCAAGCAGGAGGGCGGGGCGGAAGCGGCGCTGGCGGCGGCCGCCGGCGGCGTCAGCTCCATCGCCAGCTCCGGCACCACGTCGCAGCAGTTCCTCAGCCGCGTGACCCTGCGGCATTCGCTCCCTGCTCTGCAGCTGATGGAGCCTCTGGTATGTCTATGTGTGCATCTTCCCCTGGCCCGAGGCGTTGTCCGGTGGCTTGGCTGACCTTTTGTCTATCTGCTCGGGCGCGCGCACACGCACACGCACACGCACACGCACACACAGTACAAGACCTACCTCACGGCCGACGAGATCCGACAGCTCAACCGGCCGCTTTTCCAGGCCCCCACAGTCAACCTTCACACTCTGTATCCCTCGCGCTTGATCTTGGAAAAAAAGCGCAAGCGCTACGAAGCCAACTCGGCCGGGGACTATGCCACGCCGTTCCTCCTGCCGCGGGACCTGGCCCTCCGAGAGATCGTCCCCCCGGCCGATGGGACCCCCTTCAGCGTGTACGAGCCCAATGACCTGGCCCTCTTTGAGTATAGCGAGGAGCGCCCGCCGCTGCTCTCGCGCCCGGGCATGGCCTCCATCCTGAAGCACTACTACCGGCGACATGTGCCCTCGTGCGGCACCGGGGTGCCCGGGCCCGGGGGAGCCGGCGGCCTGGGTGTCGGGGCCCGGCTGCGCACGGCCGGCGATGCTGGGCCCGATGCCCGGCCCGGCGATGGCGATGGCACCGAGCCGGCTCTCACCCACGATGAGGACGACGATGAGGATGAGGATGGCGATGCCACGGATGCCTTTGATCAGGAGGCCGCGGCCCGTCGGCCGCCGAGCCGCCTCTCGGCCGCGGCGCTCATCTCCAAGGCCGCGTCGCGGGGGAACCTAGACGCAGCGGACTTTGTCCTGGGCCGGACCCTCGATGCGGCCAACATCGCCCGACTGGACCAGCTGCCCTTCGGCGTGGTGGAGCCGCTGGAGCCCAATGACAAGAGTCCCTTCGGCATCTTGTCGCCCCTGCCCACCGGCGACCATGCGACGGCCATCTACAACAACATGTTCCGGGCGCCGGTCTTCCAGCACCCGTCGCCGGGGACGGACTTCCTGGTGATTTGGTGTGTCCTTGGTTGAGGGTAGGGGACGGGGGGGGGGGGGGGGCTGTCCTCTTAATTTGCACATGCGGAGCCGGCCCCCCCCCCCCCCCCCACCCCCCCCCCCCCCCCCCCCCCCCCCCCCCCCCCCCCGCCCTTCCCCCGCCCCCCCCCCCCCCCCCCCCCCCCGCCTGCCCGGCGCATGGAAGCTCCAATTCTCGGTATTACATCCGGACCATCCCCCATGTGTGGCTCGTTGGCCAAACGCTGCCGACCATGCGCGTGCCGACACCCGGCTCGCGTGATAACCAGGAATACCTCCGCGAGCGCATCGAGTCCTGGGCCGTGCTGGAATTCCTCAAGGCCAAGATGTCCACCTCGTCGGCTGAGGCGGCCGCAGTGGCTGCCGCTGTGGCGGCCTCCTCGTCCAAGGCGGCGGCCGGGGCCTCGACGGCCGCCGCGGCCGCTGCCGCCGCCGCCTCCGCCACGCCCTCCATCCCGGAGAGCCTGCCTGACCGGGCCTTCCCGAACGTTTCCCGGGCGTACATTCGCCGGCGCCTCATCGTGCGTAACCCGAACCGCCAGATGGGGGCAGGGGGGGGGGGGGGGGCTTTGACGGGCGCCTGCTTGCCTTGCTGACCACCATCCCATTTTTGCCATGCGCACCCGGCCCCGTGGATCTTGACAGTCGCTGGCCGTTCGCCACCCGGGGAGTGGGAATCTGCCGCCGCAGTACCGGCTCCGGTCGCCGGCCAGCTTGCAGCGCCAGCTACTGGAGCCGGAGCGCCTGTGTGCCTATGAGAGCATGCTCTATGGCGTTCGCCAGCTGAAGGACCTGGGGTATGGTCTGCCTCGGGGCGACCAGGCGCCATTGGAAGCCGAGGAGCCGGATGTGGCCACCTTCGCGGCGATGGCCACATCGCTGGCGGCGGCCGGGTCGACGGGCTCCGGGGCGGGGGATCCGGCCGGCCCGGTCCCCGGCACCCCCGGCAGCGGGGCCGCCGCCGGTGATCCGCTGCCGGAGAACCTGGTCCTCGGCCTGGCCCCATGGCGCGTGAGTCGCAATGTGACGGACCTCCAGACGCGCGGTGTGCCGGCCATCAACATCATCGGGCCCGGGGATTTGACCCGGCGCCAGGAGAGCCTGGATCTGACCCGGCCGGCGGCCGGGGCCAACTGGACGGCGCGGGCCACCGGGCCCGGAGCCCGGGGGTCGGCCCCGGCCGGGGCACGGCCCGGCCCCGGCCCGGCTGGCGACATTCACCACATGACCGAGCATGAGTTGGACCAGCGAGACGCCGAAATCAACCGGGCCCTGGCGCTGGACTCGACGGCCGAAGTGCTGGCCGGCCCGGCATCGGTGGAGGCCATGCGCCGGCTGCCGATCCCCCTGCGCCGGCTGACCCTCGGCGAGGCGCGCAATATCCTGGCCCTGCGCGAGGGTCTGGATGAGTCGGACCTCCCGGACCGGCTGTGGGACTGCCTGGGTCTGCTGCGGGAACTCCGCTTCCGGGTGAATCCCCACAGCAGCCGGGCCCTGATTGCGGCTCCGCAGCGGACCCCGGCTGCCGAACTCCAGCGCCAGTACCGCCGGGAAATTGGCCATGTGTGGGCACGCCAGCGCCGGGCCCTGGCGCGCCCGGCCCGCGAGGCGGTCCTGGCCGAGCAATGTGCCGCGGCGCGCCTGGGCCGGGCTCCGACCTCTGCTCCCCAGGCCCCAGGCCCGGAGCTGGAGGCCGTGCGCGGTGCGTGCTTTCCCCTCCCCCGCCCTCCTCCGTCTCCTTCTTCTTCTTCTTTTTTTTTCTTTCGGCCCATCTTTCGCCCCACCCCCGTGGGCAGGCGTCTGCGCATATGTTTGCCCCCCTCCCCCTCGCCCTCGCCCTCGCCCCTCCTGCGCATGGCCTTTTCGCCACCTCTGACGTCCCTCGCCCCGTGCGTGCCGCACGTCCACCCATGCAACTACACCGTCTAGCCGACTTGCCCGGCTTGGACTTCTCAGCCTACCCCGGGAGCATTCCGCCCTCCTTGAAGATCACGCACATTGTGGCCAGCGAGAATGCCGGGTATGTGCGTCGAACGCAGACCCTCACCGACCCGCGGGTGATTGCGGCGTACCTGGCGGCCCGGCACCGGCGCGATTGCGAGGCCCCGCCGCCGAGTGCTGACGCTGGGGCTGAGCAGCCGACGGCGGCAGTCGCTCGGGCGGAGGCCGCTGGCGGGGTCCCGGCCTCGGCCGCTGCCCCGCTCCCGACGCCGAAGCAAGCACCATCCTCGAGCGCTGGCCCGACGCCGAAGCAGCCTGCATCCCCGGCAGCTGCCTCGACCGTTGGTGCCACTGGCCCGGCCTCCGCCAAGCCGGCCAAGCCCCGGGCCCCGAAGAAGAAGGTCCCGGCCATCGGCGCCAATGCCGCCACGGCCCTGCCGGCTCCGGCTGCCGCCGCGGTGGTTGCCACCGCTGCTGCGGGCGTTCCGCGCAAGCTGACCATCAAGCGGCCGCTGCCGCCGGCTGGCTCGACCGATGCGGAGATGGCCTCCTCATCGGCGGGCGGCTCCTCGGAACTGACCATCAAGCTGACAGCGCCTGCGGCCGTGGCGGCCCCGGCCCCCGGCGTCTCGGCAGGCTCGGCCGCCGCTGCCGCTACCAACACCGTGCGTTTCCCCGGCCTTGCATCCTCGGCCAGCTCCGGGCCAGCCCCCCATCCACTCACCATCCCCGTCGCCGCCGCCCCCCCCCCCCCCCCCCCCACTCCAGTCACCTTGTAACGACGCTTGCTGCCTCTTGCAGAAGCGCTGCAGCTCCTGTCACCAGGTTGGCCACTTCCGCACCAGCCGCGCGTGTCCGAACTACAAGTCCAAGGGCTCCGGCTCGGCGGCCTCCTCGTCGACCTGAGCGCCCGGATAGCCCGTCCCCCTGCCTCCATTTCCCCCTTCCTTCTCTGTCTTTGTATCCCTCTATCTGCCTCGCCTCCCCCTTCTCTCTCTCTCTCTCTCTCTTGAATTCGAACTCGAACTCGACTCGAGACTGTCCTTGTTCCCTGGCTCTGTCTCCTCCCTGGCGGCGAGGCACAGGCGAGTCAGACGCCCTTTCACAGCCCTCACCCCCGCGCCTTTTGAATGCACCGTCTCCCCCCCCCCCCCCCCTCCCGCCCCCTTCCCCTCTTTCGCTGCTCGCCCCGGTGGCCTGTCCGGCCTCGTGGATGCCTTTGGGTGTGGGGTCCAAAAATGCGGGGCGTCTATCTAAGAATACTGAAAGAGGGTGAGGCCCGACAGAGTGCTCGGCATGCGGCCCTAGAGCAGACACGACGAGCTGAGCTCCAGGCGAAAGAGGGAAAAGTTTTGCTTTTCCAGGACCGCGGCCAGCGACGCGATTCCCTGACGGGCGATTTGGCGATTCTCTGCATCGGTGCGGCGGCACAAGGCATGGTCAGGGGGAGGCACATTTGGCGTAGGCACTTTAACTTGCGCATGGGCATGGTCCCGCCGGAGGGCGCCACAGGGACGTACGGCGGAGATCCAGTGTCTCAAGAGTGGAGTTCTCGTGCAGAGCGTCCGCGAGTAGGATGGCATGAAAGTCTCGCAGGCGGGTGTCTGTGTCGGTGAGAGTGGGGGCGGCGGCAGCGGGTGCGAGATGGTGCACGTGTTAGTCGAGGGATGCGAGGGTGTTCGCTCGCCCATGCAGTGCGCGCGGAAGTGTGTGTGTGTGTGTGTGTGTGTGTGTGTGTGTGTGTGTCGATGGCGCCTCGGCGGGTGTGCGTCTCTCTTTGATGGTTCGAACGGGCGCAAAGGCGAATCGACACGTACCACCTAGAATCAGCGTGCGCAGGGTCCTGTTCACGCGAAGGCCATTGGCCAGGTCCTTGAAGTCCGTCAAAGAGGAACCTGCGCACACGCGCCAGCAGGGGGATGTCGTATTTATGCGTGCGCATGTGCGTATGCGTGGGCGTGGGTATGGGTGTTAATCGAGCAGTGGCCGACACCCGGGCCGAGCTCGGAATACAAGTGGCCCGGGCCCACACGGCGACGAGGAGGGAAACCCGCGCACCCGAGAGGTCCAGTAGCTCCAAGCGTGAGCCGGTGGTGATGTCCGGCGTCCGGCAGTGGCAAAGGCTCTTGCTCCGGTGGGCCAGGGGGGCCTGTGCAAGGTAGCTCTCAATTTGCTGCTCCGCCACGTCGGCCATGCTGTAGAGGGCCGCCAGGCCGGGGTGGATGGCCGGGTCGCAATAGATGCACTGTTCATGGGCATCGGGCCTCATGGTCCCCGGCTGCCGGGCGACCATCGTTGGCGGGTCGTACGCCGGCCCGGGACCCGGCGCGGCGGACGGGATCCTGGCGGGACTCTTCCCGGGCCCGGGGTCCGCCTCGGCCGGGTCGCCGGATGCCGCCGGCAGGGGCAGCCAGTCGACATACGACCGGGCCACCAGGGCGCGGAGCTTGCGCGTGACGGCGGCCGGGCAGGGGCGTGCGTTTGCCCCGGCGCCGGGGTCGGCCGGGTCCGCCGGGGCGGCCGGCGTGGCCGGCGTGGCCGGCGTCAGCGGATTGCCCCCGGTGGCCAAAGCGTCCTCCAGCGGGTCCTCCGGCTCGGGCTCCGGGTCGTGAAGTGGAGGCAAACGAATGGACCGGATGACCGGGCGCCGAGGACTGGCCAGGAGGAAATGCCGGCCCAGCCCCGGGGCACCCGGCGACCAGGGGGCCATGTCCGAGGTGCCTTGGGGTCCGCCAGGGCCCGGGGTCACCGGGGCGCTACTGCTGCCGCCGCCGCCGCCGCCGCCGCCGCCGCCGCCCCCAGTCCCATCCCCGGCGTCGGTGGGTCCCCAGCCCCCGGGCGAGGGGGACAGCCCCTGCGGCGGGAGCAGCGCCCGTGTCGGGGTGAAGGGAATGCCCCAGAGGGTGTTCTCCAGCCATTCCGACGAGTCGACCGAGTCGGCAAAGGGGTTGTCGGTCTCCTGCTCGGGGCTCTCGGCCCGGGCCGGCCGGCCGGCGGGGCCGGCCGCATCGACTCGCATCCTGGCTGGCATCATCACGTCGGCCATGCGCTGCAAGGGCGACAGCAGGGACTCATACTCCGGGGCCAGGAGCCCCGGTGACACGGGGAAGTGCCTCCGACCGGGCCCGGCCTCGGGGATGAGCAGATGCATGGCCAGGCTGGCTGGCGGGGCCGGGGGTCCGGCCAGGGCCACCGGGCTGACCGGCGACACCACGGGCCCGGCGGTTGGCCGGCCGGCCTCCTCGGCGGCGGCCGCCGCCGCCGCTGCCGCTGCCCGCCGCTCGATCGCCATGGCACAGGACTCGTCGCAGGCGGGACCGCCGGCCACCTCGGGCCCGGCCTGGCCCACGGCGGGCGCCCCCTGCCGGAGGAGATCGCCCACCAGCCGCCCGGGCACCTGGGCACCGGTGGACGCGAAGCGGGCCATGCGCACATCCGACCCAGGCAGGCCCATGGCCCACAAGAGGTGCCGGAGGCCGCGGTTGCCCAGGGGGTTGCCTGAACGATGGTCGGCAGATAGCACGGCGAGCCGGGCGTCAGGACAAGGGAGACACACCCGTGCCCTGGGCAAATGCCGGCCCACTGGCCCCCGACCGGGGGCGGGCAACATCGCGCGACGGCCCCACCCCCACAAAAATACACACACACACACACACACACACACGGCGCCCAGGCTGACCAGAGACATACCTGACAGATCGAGGATAGCCAGGCGCGTACACTGGGGCAGGCCCAGCGCCTGGGCCACCTCCGGCGACTGGGCCGCCAGCAGGACGGAGATGGCCGCCGCGCCGGTTTCCCCGATGTGGTTGCGCTCCAGGGCCAGCTGCCGGAGGGGCAGGCCGTGCGAGGCCAGCGTCGAGGCCAGGGCCACGGCCCCGGCGTCGCCAATCCCATTGTCCCCCAGGCGGAGGACGCGCAGGCCGGTGGCCGGGCCGGCGGGCGGGTCGTCGGCCGGCCACCGGTCCCCCGGGGCCCGGGCGCTGGCCGCCATCCCCCGAGCCAGGGCAATGGCCCCCTCATTGCCAAGCTGGCAGCCCTCCAGGGCCAGCACCGCCAGCCAGCTGGCCGGATGGCAAACAACCTGGCTCAGCCCGGCCATCATCAGCGCCGGCCGGTGGAGGTCGCACTCGCGGATGTCCAGCACACGCAGGCAGCCGGCGCCATTTTCCGAGGACAAGTCCATGCCGCACGCCAGCTCGCCGATCAGCCCGGCCAGGGCCTGCGCCCGGTCCCGGTCGAAGGTGCACCGCCGGACCATGACGCAGTCCAGTCGGACCGGCGCGGCCCCGGGCTCCGGGCGCCTGGGCTGCCACGGCGCCCGGGCGACCGCATCGGCTACCACCTCCAGCACCGAGCCGCAATCCACCGGGTGCTCGCTGTCGCTCAGCCCCTCGAGGCTGAGGATGCGCGGCAGGCGGTCCCCGGGCGCGGCCAACTCCCGCGGCGATAGGGCCAGCACGCCCATGGTCAAGGCGCGCGCCAGGCCCTCGGCCAGGGCGGCCGGTTGCAGTGTGCTCTTCCGATCTCCACCGGGTGCTCGCTGTCGCTCAGCCCCTCGAGGCTGAGGATGCGCGGCAGGCGGTCCCCGGGCGCGGCCAACTCCCGCGGCGATAGGGCCAGCACGCCCATGGTCAAGGCGCGCGCCAGGCCCTCGGCCAGGGCGGCCGGTTGCAGGCGCTTCTGGTCTACCGGTTCGGGCCGGGCCGGGCCGGGCCAGCCCGGCGGGTGCAGGTGGTGCTGAGGTTAGCGATGTCCGACGCTGGCATGCCGGGCGATGATGAGATGCGGGGTGGCGGCAGGGAGCCCGGAGGGGGCGGGGGCCGAAGCGAGAGGCACAGGCAAGACCCACACGGGCCGGCACGCACGCTGGATTCGCAGGACATTTATCGCATGGTGGGAATAGTGCACCGGCACCGCGCGCGAACGGGGCGGCCACGTTTGGATGGGGCCCGGGCCCTCGGCGATGGCCGGCAGGAGCTGCGGCCCAGCCGGCCCGGTGGATGACAGGCTTGCCAGCATGGGCTCCAGATCGTCGGCCACTGGCGGGGCGGCGAAGGGCACCGAGAAAGGGCAACCCCCCACACCCGGGCAGGCAGCGTGCGATGGGGCACCGAGCAGGTGAGTGAGCGCTGGCCCGGGTCCCGGGATCGCCGGATCGTAAGCCCCCCTCGGGATGTAGACGCACCGGAAAAGTGCTCGCACCGCCCGTCCAAACTCCAGGCGGTGGGCGTCGGATGAAGTGGCGCCTCCATGACCGGGCTCAGGGCGCGGCGTCGGGCGGCACCCGGCAGGCCGGCCGGGCCGCGGCCCGGGTGGAGCTCGGTCCCGGCCGCGACGGCCAGGACGTCCGCAAGATCGGAAGAGCGTCGTGTAGCTCAGGGCGCGGCGTCGGGCGGCACCCGGCAGGCCGGCCGGGCCGCGGCCCGGGTGGAGCTCGGTCCCGGCCGCGACGGCCAGGACGTCCGCATGCCGGGGCGGTGGCGGCGACGGAGACGATGGCGCCAGGCCACCGGGGTCCGTTTTCTTGGCCGGCGCCCCGACCAGGTCCGCCCAGAAGCGGCTCATGCTGGCTCGGGGACAGAGGTCCGGGCCAGGGGAAGCAGGAGCAGAAGCAGGCCGGAGCCGGCGAAGACACTCGGTGTCCGGCGGGCAAGCGAGGGATCAGCGAGTGGCGAGGGGGGACGGGGCACGCGATCGGCTGGCAGACAAGAGGCGAGGGAAAGGCGAGGGAGGGGGGGGAAGCAGATACTGTTGACGCGCTGGCCACAGCAGTCACCCGGCCGCCGAGGGCCGTCTTCAGGCACCCGGGCCGCCGTGCAGTGTTCTAGCCCTCGGCGGTGGGGGCGAGGGGCGGGCCACGCCGAGGGCGCTGGCCTGCCTCCGTGCGAGCCGGCCGGCTGGCAGACGGCTGGTGGCTGAGGCGGCTGCGCCGCATGACTCGGCCACTGGCCGCATGAGAGGCAGGCGATCGCCATCGGCATATCGTCGCAGCAAGCGCACGAGGCCTCGTGCTGAGCAGCCCCCGGCGAGATGGGATCTTCCCCATGGCGGCCGGAAAATGACCACACCCTGGGTGCGAGCGCGCGCCCACGGGCAAAACACCGCCGCCCCTCTTGGCGGTGGCCCTGATGAGGCTGGGTCGCCGACGCGGCACGCCCGGGGCCTCGTGCTGCCTCCGGTCTAGTGGCAGGCAGGCAGGTGGGCAGGCAGGCAGGCAGGTGGGCAGGCAGGCAGGCAGGCAGGCGGAGCGTGGCGCGCCCCCCAGCCTGGCCCTTGTCGTGCACCCCCTCGCTCGGCCGGCGCTTGCTGCCCTGCTCCGCCGAGTCACCAGCGAGCAGCTGGCCGGCCCAGGCCCGGCCGGCGGTTGTGCCCGCCCCCACCGAGCCCCGCCTCGGATGATCGCTGGCATGCGCCACCGCGCGCATGGATCGTTTTCGTCCGGGTTGGGATAATACCCCGCCAGGATTGCGTCTCGGCTCCCCCGTGGGCCGCGGGCCCCCACCCCCCAGGGGAGAGGGGGGGGAGGGGGTCAAGCAGAGCGACACAGAAAGGTAGCGAGGTGAAGGCAAGGCACCGGACCCAAATCCGGCGGGCGTGGATCCCGCCCGGTCACCCCGGCTTGATGGGTATCTGTGCGCGAGTCGACCGCCTGTGCCCCAGGCGGCGAGAGCAACACGGGGAGAGCCGCCACCCGCGGCCCCCTATCTCCCCCGAGTGCGAGGGGCCCGGTGGGGGCCTGTGCAACGCGCGCATGGACACCCCGCGAAGCCCCGGCGTGAAAGCGCCTGCCTCAATACCGGCAGGCCTTGCGCCCTCCTCTCGCTTTATGCGCGTGGGTGTGTGTGGGCGTGTGCATATTTCTTGGGTCCTCGCGTTCTCCCTCTGTCCGCCGCGCCTCTTGGTGCGTCTCCCCCCCCCCCCCCCCCCCCCCCCCCCCCGGGGCCCCAAAGGCCACAACCCCGATCGAAGACTGTGGGGTAGGGCCCCGGACGGCGCTGACGTCCTCCCCCATGCACCCGGGCCACGGTGCCAACGGATCACGACCACGTCCTTCAGGCAATCCCCCCCCCCCTCGCCAGACAATCGTTCAGACGCGCACGCCCGCGGAGCCACCCCCGTCCCCAGCACCTTCACACCGCCCGCCACCCCCGGGCCATGACTCTCTGGCCATGCCATCCGCAGCATCCCCCCGCCCCCCCTCAGCGGCTGCCCATTTGCCGGTCTCACTTTTCTGCCTTCGTCCTTACCGCGTCCCCGGGAGCAGGCCAGTGCATTCGCAAGCCCCGGGATCGGCCTGCTTCGCGACCGCGACCCCCGTGGCGGAGGCATCGGGCTCGGGCCCTCCTCCCGCCCACTCGGCCCTGGCCTGGGCCTCCTCTTGCCCTACTTCTCTGGAGACGCTCCCTCTCTCTCTCTCTGCCCTTCCCCCAGGATGGGCACACACACACACACACACATTGCTGGCCACAACAAGGAAAGGGCATGGCTCTCTCTCACTCGCTCGGATGTAGAGATGTGAGATGCATCCTGGGGCCGGAGGGGGGGGGCGGGCGACCGCCGGGAGAATTAGGCAACGGCACAGGCAGGCATGGCTCCCGAAGGGGGATCAGCCCTTGGCAAGGCCGGAAAAAAAATAAAACACACGCCACGGTACGCCACCCTCCCGCATTCGAGGGAAGGCAAAATGCCTCGGCACGCCGGCAGCGGGCAGGAACGCCAGAGGAAGGAACAACACTGGCATCGGGCAGGCACAAGTTTCAAAGGCTATGGCGGGGGTGCAGGGCCGACAGCAGCGCGGGGGAGAGGGGCCAGAGGGGCACAAGTGCGCAGAAGTCGCCGCACACGCGAAAGGCCCCAGGACAGACACATGCACAGAAGACAAGCCAGCCCGAGCCCCCGCGCGCACATGCTTATGTCGGCTTCCCCGCACGCCGTCGCTCGCCCCTTCACACCCCGTCCTCCCCTCCTCCCGGCCATTCGCGATCGCCTGGGTGCCTCCACTTTGGCCGGAGCATGCACAGGCGCGGGGGGGGGGGGGGGGACCGGTCCACGGGCCGGGCGGAGGCCATCTCCACCTGCCCGCCATTCTCGCGTCCTCGGCCCCGCAGACACACACGCATGCTCTGTCAGTGGCGAAGACGACTCTCTCGGCCGGTCCCGGCCCTCCCCCCCGTCTACCTCGGTCCCGGGTCCGCTGGCGGCATGTGTGCCGGCAGGGGGTGGCCATGCGGGTAGGCCCGCCGGTCGTCTTAGTCGCTGGGCCTCCCTCCGGCACCCGGCCGCGCCCCCTCTCACCGCCTTTACACCTGGGCACGGATATGGCGCGATGCCCACAAACGTGGACATAGCCACATATGTACACATACACATAACACCATATGTTTATATGCAGGCATGGAGGGCCTCTTGTTCGCTCGCGCGCGCGGCAACGCCGCACCGATACATGTGCGCCACACAGGCCCACGCCCTCGCTCGGGTACAAGTGAGCCGATCGCTCGCGAGCGAGAACGCGAGAGAATGGGGTGGGGTGGGGGAGCAAGAGCGCTCGCGCCTCACACACACACACACACACACACACACACAAACACACAGAGGCAGACTCAGAAGTACACCAGCGGCGGGAAGAACACCGGCTTGGGCTGGTTCGACCGGCGGAGGTTGCGAATACCGGCCGAGTAGGTGTTGGCGTTGGCCAGGACAACATGGTCGTGCAGGGCGCAGGTGTACTGCAGCATGGCCAGCTTGCGCACGACGTTGGTCCGGCAGCCGGGGTAGATGTCCTTCGGCGGGCAGTTGACCGGCACCCCGGGGAAGCGCTCGGCAATGCGGGTCAGCTGCTCGGGGTTGGCGTCGGTGACGATGAAGAGCGACGTGGCATTGACATCGGCCGTGAAGAACTCCACCAGATCCAGGGTGGTGTCCAGGACGCTGGACCGGCCGCGCTGGGCAATGGCAATGTGCACGCAGATGGTGCCGTTGGCCGGCGGCAGGGCGGCAATGTGCTTGGCCAGGTCGCCGGTCAGCAGGTGGGGGTTGGTGCCGGCGTCGGCGCCGCCGGCCGGGACCGCCGCCTCGGCGTCCATCTCCAGGTCCCGGCGAGCGCGCTGGGCCGCGGTCGGCTCCGGGCCGGAGGCCACCGTCGGCAGGGTGTCCAGGCTGCCGAAGTCGTCGCTGCCCTCCTGCAGGGTGCTGCCGTCGGCCTTGAGCCCGGAGGCGGCCAGGGCCGAGCCCGACCCGGCGGACGAGTCGTCCGAGTCGTCGGAATCGTCCGAGTCGTCCGAGTCGTCCGAGCCGCTGGCATCGCTGCCGGCCGGCGAGTTGTCACCCGTGCGCCGGGCGGCCGGCTTGTCCGTGTCCCCGGCGGAGATGGCCACACGCTCGGTGCGATTGACCGGCTCGGCGGCCAGGCGCGCGGCCGCATGGGCCCGGACCACCAGCGTGGCCTGCTGGGCGGCCTGGTCCTTGCTGATGAGCTCATACATCTTGGTGCACTCCTTCTGGAAGTCCTTGGAGAAGGCCCGGCTGAGGGAGCTGTTGCGCTTGTACTCGCGCAGGTACTGGCGCTCGGGCTGGGTGTAGATGGACAGCGAGCCGGACCGGTCATTGAGCGCCGCGGCCACCGACGCCGAGGAGGCCAGCTCGCCGGTGACATACAGCAAGTCCGCGGTCTCATGGCGCATGGGCTCGATGGAGGGCGCATGGCGAAGCTTGCAGGTGCCCGGCCCGGCGGCCAGCCCCGGCGTCAGGGGCCCCTGGCGGGGCACATGCGGGCAGGTGACCGGGTTCCAGCCATGCAGCAGGACGGCCTCCTGGTCGCCGCCGGCGTCGTCATCGGCCACCCCGATCCGGCACCAGGGGGCGTCCTCCATCTCATTTTCATGGTAGAAGTGCAAGTTGCTGGCCACCACACAGCGCGAGCCATTGTGCGACTCGGAGTAATCCTTCCAGTCGATGACGCGCAGGGGCCGGCGCAGGGGCCGGCCATCGGTCACTTCGCGGCCCTCGCGGAAGATGTGCGTCCCCTGGGCCGCGCGCTCCAGGTACTTGTTCATCGGGGCATAGTCATACACATCGCTCATGGCCGTGCCGGCGTACGGCAGGACCAGGACACTGCGCCGGAGCAGGGCCGCCAGGTCCAACAGGGCAAACAGCTGCATTTGCCGGTCCCCAAAGAGCCCATAGGCACTGGTGACGATGTACTTCTCGGCCGGGTCGTCGTCCATGTCGTAGGTGGTCAGCCCGGCCGAGGGGCCATACCCGGCGGAGAATTGCTCCATGCCGCTGGCCGGGGCGATGGCCGGCACCGGCTCGCCCGCCTGCGGCGCATACTCGCTATGGAAGGAGGTGGCGTCCGGGTGCGCCGCGCGGAAGGCCCGCACCGCGGCCACCGACACCGAGTTCGAGTGCAGCAGCGCATCGCCATCCGGCCGGTCGAAGACGCTGCGCCACAGGAGCGGCCGCGAGCCGACGGCCGCCGTGCACATGAGCGACGCCAGCGGCTGCTCCAGGAGGCTGGTGGTGGCCGATGCCGCGGTGGCTGCCACCAGGCGCCGCCGGTCCTCCTCGATGACCAGGCTCGTGGACATCAGGGCGATGAAGCAGAGAGCCGCGATCGTCAGGAGCACGACGAACAGGGCCGCCCGCAGGGAAATGGACCTCCGAATGAGGATGGCCATGGCGACTGGCGGGGCAACCGGGCCAAGAGCCGAGGGGTTAGCGGATGCAAGATCGATGTGCGCGACAGAGGCGGCCCTCCGGGAGACATACCCTATGAGGGACGCGAAGTGCGACCGGGGGAGGATCGCCCGCGGAGAAGATGGGGTGGAGGGGGGGGGGGTGGCCAAAAGAACCGCGCCGATCGTGTTCAGGGGGACGAGCAAGGGGGGGGGGGGGGGGGGTAGTCGGCGAAGACGAAGGGCAGACTGGTGGCGGGAAGCTGGGGAGGGTGTAAATGTGGGCCACTTTGACTGAACTGTAGTCCAGGGGCCTCCGTAGCGCCGCTTAAGTATGTGTCCCGTCCCGGCCAGGACATGGGGCGGTGTGTGTGTGTGTGTGTGTGTGTGTGTGTGTCTGTGAGCGGGCCCGGTCCGCCGGTGTCCCCTGGCGCATCTGGGCATTGCCCGGTGGCCGAGCACACTGAGCATCCGTACCCAACCACGCACACATACGGGCATGCATACGGGCATGCATACGGGCATGCATCGACACGGGCCGGCCAGAAGCCACATGCGAGACAGGGGGGACTGTGGAGCAGGGGGAGGAGGCGTCGCGACAATCAACTTTGGTGGTCGCCCGACCATGTCCCCCCCCCCCCCCCCCCCCGCCCAGCCCCGCCCTTGGGGCCGGGCCCCCAGTTGGCTGGCAGCTGGCCGCTCCGCGGGCCGCGACACGGGGCGGTCGTATCACCGCAGGGTGGCGGAAAGGCGGGCGGGGCGTGCGGCGAGGGCCTGGCTGAGAGCAGGGGGGGGGGCGGGGGGGCGAGTAGTCTAGCACCGAGCAGGACTATCTTCTGGACGCCCCCTGTGTGGGCTAAGTGCGCGTGCATGCACGCCTGGCCACAATCGGGCCTGGCCTCTGGCCGATTGCCCGCCTGTCCGAGCTTCCCCACTGCCTCGCCGGACCGGGCCCTTCGTGACACCGGGTCCACCGGCGGGGCCAAACATCGGGATTTGAGCTGGCGTAGCGGTGCCGGCGGGCCGGTCGCCCGCGAGCGGCGTCGGGCGCCAGCCGGCCGCGGGGCCGGAGACCGGGGCCGAGGTCTGCTCGAGCGCCAGCCCGCCCGCCCGCCGGGAGGGGCCCGCGGCAGGGGCCTAATCTGATTGCCAACGAACCTCACACGATATGCTGGTTAAACTACCCCTGCCGCGGGAGGGGGAGGGGTCGCGGCGCCGGGCGGCCAGGCGAGATCCCCCGCGCGGGTCGGTCCGCCACCGGGGGAGAGATCCCGAACGGCCTCGGAGGGGGACGGGGAAATGGCGGCGCCCGGGAACGATCGGGACCTTTTGATTGTGGGCTCCGGACGGGCCCGGGCCCCGGAGAATTCCCAACACCAGGGCGGGCACTCGCGCGCGCGCGCGCTTGTGGGCCGGCGCCGTCGGCCGCGGACTTTGGAGCGCGGCTCGGATGGCAGGGGGACGGGCACGGGTGGCGAAAAAAACAAAAACAAAAAGGAAGCCGCACGCAGTCCGGCGAAAGTGGGCCGATGGCGTGCGGGTGTGCGAGAGGGGCCGCACGCCGGGCCCCGGCCTCAAAGCCCATCGATTCGGCCGACGGCGCCCTTCGCCGGCAGGGCGCGCGCAGTCCCTCCAGGGATCCGGCCGCCCCCCGCCCCCCCCCCCCCCCCCCCGGCCTGGAGGTCGGTGGTGCGGTGGGCGTCCGAGGGGGCTTTGGGCTGGGAGCCCAGGCATCGGGTGCCAACGAAATTTGCGACACCCCTTCGGATGAAGGGGGCGGCCAAAACGCCAGGAACATTGTTCTGTGTAATCTGGCGCGGGCGACACGTGCCGTGTCGAGTATCACATGCGGTGGCACCAGAGAATGCCACTCCCCAGGCCGTGGGCCAGCATGCCGCCTTACCCCTCCTCCCTGGTTCCTGCCCACCTGCCTGCGTCCTGTGTCGGCTGGGGGGCAGGGGGAAACCCTGCATTTTTTATTGCTCACTTCATTGGATGCCTGTGTGAAAGCGTGTGGAGTTGGTCCTCGCCCGGGGGATTTTTGAATTCCCTTGTCGCTCAAACAACCCTCCTGGCCGGGCGGAGGGTGCTTCTGGTGTTGTTGTATGGTTACCACCGGCCCGGGCCACACCCTCCCCGGGGTGGGAGAGCCCCTCGGTCCATGCTTGGGAGGGGGGACACGGGCACCCCCCTGCGGCTCCCCGCCGCCACGGCTTCGGCGGCCGGGCGCGCCGCCCAGCCAAGGCCGCGGATCGACCATCAGAAGGATATGCGCCGTGTGGATGGCGGGGGGAGGGGGGGAACACCAGCACCGCGTGGGCGCGCGGTAGGGCGCGAGGACCCGACCCCGCCGTCGCCCCCGCCGTCACCCCCGCCGCGGGTCGCGAATTCGGCGCCTTTTTTCTAGAGCGCCCCCGGGCGGGTTCGCCGCGCCGGTCCTGAAGTGTCGGCGCGCTCGGTCACCGGGCCGCCCCCGGTTGCCGCTATAAATAGCAGCGCCCCGGTCGCTCCCAGCCCCCAGTCGCCTCGTCAACAGGGACCTCTGTTCTCCCCCCTCACACATACCCCGCTGTGCCCTCCCCGTCTGTCTGTCTGCCCGCCCGACCGCGCCCTCCCTCTCCTCCTCTCTCTGTCTGTTGCGCCTGCCTGTGTGTGCCCGCGTGTGCGTGTGCATGGCCGCCTCCCGGTGTGTTGTGTCCCTCCCTCTCCTTGTCCCCGCGTTTGTAGGGAGTGAGCGCGCACCCATTGTAGCCATGTCTGCCCCACCCTCGACACAGCAGCAGCAGCAGCAGCAGCAGCAGCAGCAGCAGAAGCGGCCGAAGCAGCAGCAGCAGCAGCAACAGCAAGCACATCGACCGACCCCCCCCGCCACCGGCGGCGGGGTGGGGCAGAAGCCGGCCGGCCGGCGCCGTGGTGGCGCCCCGGCTGCACCCCCTGTCCGGATGAAGCTGGCGGTGGCCGCCTCGCCGGCTAGCCTGTCGGCCAGCCTGGCGGCGGCGTCCTCCCCGGCGCCCCCCCTCCCGCGCGGTCTGGAGCAGCGCCTCGTGACCGTGTTGGATTCGCACTTTGCGCACCTGGGCCAGGCGCGTCTCCAGCGCCAGGCCACCCGGTATCAGTCAGTGCGCGCGGCCCAGCGCGCCAAGCGTGCTGGCCTCCCCCCCGCCGAGAAGGTACACACATCTGTCTCTCCCTCCCCCCTCCCCCCCCTCCCCCCCCTCCCCCCCGCCGCCCGAGCGAGGGGGGGAAGCGCACGTGCTCTAGCGTGATGGTTATATGAACAATCTTTGAATGACTCAAGAAGTCACAATATGTAAACAACTTTTTCTGATCCTTCTGCCGCGCGCCTCCTCCTCCTCTCTCCTCCTTCATCGCACACACGCACACACTGTCTCCCTTCCCTCGCTCTAACGCTGCCTTCCCCCCCCCTCCGCTTTTGTAGCCTGCGGTCCCGGCGACGCGGGCCCCGCTTCCCGATGCGCCCGGATTGATCGTCGGCACGAACCAGGTCCTCCGGGCGCTGGAGCGCCGTGCGGATCGCCCCGGCTCGGCCGTGGTCTTCGTGGCGCTGGACGCCATGCTTCAGACCCTGGCCACCGTGGTGTCGGCGGCCGCTCGGCGCCTCGGTTTCCCGGTGGCCTGCCTCAGCGCCTCGGCCGGCGATCTGTCTCGCATCTTCGGCCTGCCTCGGGTGACGACGTTCGCCGTGCTGGACGATGATGCGGCCTTGTTGTCCGGTCTGACGGGCATCCTGTGCCCGGTGGCCGCCGACGGCACCGCCATCCCTCTCCAGGTAGTGGCCCCCGTCGATGCCGACGCCGCCGCCGCCTCTTCCTCCTCCTCCCTGGCGCCGACGCCGGCGCGGCTCCAGCCTCCCCCCTTCCGGCAAGTCCCGCTGGTCCCCACCGAGCAGCGCGTTCCGCCGAGGGTGAGTCATGTCCTGCCGACGAAACCGCGCAAGCACCAGCCATCCCGGGCCCCAGGGGAGGGGATGGCGGCGGTCGCCGTCAGCAAGGGGAATCGTGTTGCCCGCGATGGCGGCGGCCAAGGGCCGCCACCGCCAGCCAAACGTCCGCGCTCTTCCTCTTAGCTTCACAATATACAACGCACAACCCGACACATGTGCATATATAAAAATGCCCCCTCCCCCCAGATCGGAAGAGCGTCGTGTTCTTAGCTTCACAATATACAACGCACAACCCGACACATGTGCATATATAAAAATGCCCCCTCCCCCCCTTTGTTTCTCTCTCCCCCTGTGTAGTCGTGCGGCAGAAAAAAAAAGAGCGGGATACATGTCGAGAGACGGGGGGCGAGCGGGGGGAGAGGGGGAGAGCGTGCGCGACTGGCTGCAACACTGCTTGATGTGGGAAACATATTCTATTGTTCCCCCTGGGGGGGGGGGGAGGGGGCCGAGTGCTACTCTTACTGAGGAGGGGGGGTGGCCTGGCGCGGGGAACGCGGTGGGCGCGGCGGGCAAGGGGCGACCCCCAGGAACTTCCGCACGCCTTTTCCCCCCGGGACAGGCAAACCGACATGTTAGAGAGAGAGGCGAGAGGGATCCGGCTCATGCGTGTGCGCGTGCTGAGGGCGTACCCTGTGCGTTGAAAAAGTGCCGCGAGAAGGTCGGGATTTGCTGCAGGATGCTGGGGTCGTGCAGTGCGTTGGTCGGGACGCGCACGATCGGGTCCAGATGCTCGGGCGCTACTCTCACCAGGGGAGGGCAGCCAGAGAGGCTTCGAGGGTGAGCGGCGACAGGGAATGGGAAAGCAAAGCGGCAGGGCGAATCTGGCGCACCTTGCCCGGCGGGCCCCCCCGAGCTGAGGGACGGGATCTGGGCCAAGCTTGCCCGGAGTGCCTCAGCCCCGGTGGCGTTGATGCGTGCACAAAAGAGCACATATTTCGCCTGCTCAAAGTAGAAAAAGGGACTTTGAGAGGGGGAAAAAGGAGCAAGTGTGTGTGTATGTGTATGTGTGTGTATGCACACAGGGCGGCCGGTTAGACTGAGGACAAAAGTGCAGAAAGATTGTTGCGATGCCTGCCGGCACATTGGCCCTCTGCTTCCCCCCCCCCCCCCCTCCTAGCCACCCCCTCCTTCGTGTGCCCGTACCTTGGCACGGGGTCGAAGACAATGTGGCGGAACAGCTGCTGCACGGCATCCCCACTCAGGCGGCCATGCCCTTCCTCATGTAGCTCGCGCAGGGCCGTGGCCAGCGGCGTGAAGCGCCCGCCCTCGGTGTACACCTCGCACTCGGCACACACCGAGCAGGGGGCCCTGGAAGTGCAGCCCGGCATGCCGGCCAAGCAGGCCGTCGTCTGGCCGAAAATCGCGGCCGACAGATGCTCCACCGTGTCGAAGGTCTCGCGCTTGCCCCCGGGAACTGTCATGGACACCTGCCCGCGGCGGAGCTCCTGCACAAAGAACAGAGACCCCGAAGCCTGGGCGAAGTCCGCCGTCAGGGGGCCCGGGTCGCTGGCGTCCGGAGCGTCGACCAGGATCAGCAGCCCGGCGGCTTTGAAGCGCTCGGCAAGGGCCTTGGTGGGCAGGCGTTGGAGGATCTCCTGAGCACAGACCGCCGGGCGGGCTGGGCGTCTGGATCCGGCTGGCAGGCCCCGCTGGCGGAACCCGAGCAGTGGCCGGAAAAGGGCAAACAGGCCGCCGGCTCGACGGAGGACAGCTGTGCCCGGCACCCCGAGGCCCGATGCCGAGCGGCA